ATGAAAAATCGTAGCTGAGATAGAAGCCCAAGTAACATTAGTCAGTAGCTGTTACGTAAACACATGGAAGCCATTGGAAGTTTGCGTAACATTTGGAACATGACAGGATACGTTCCAAATATTCTAGATGTTACACATATGTTACACATGTTAAGTCAGTAGCTGCCCCTATCCTGCATGTAACATTTAACGAAGATATTGGAAGCCATTGGCCCTGCAGGTATGGGCGATGGCCACAGGGCCTTTGATACCCCAAGCCCAAAGAAATCCGAAAGCTTCGTCATGTTCACCATCAAAATGGCAATATGTTCAAACAAAGTTCCCAAAAATACACACACACACAAAATATCATGAATCTTGGTGATAGTGATATCTCCAATTCATATCAATTCATTACCCATAAAATCATATAAAATCATATAAAATCATATAAAATCATATAAAATCATGTGAAAAATCATGTGAAAAATCACAAAAAACTTCCCCTAGAATCACAGAAAACCCGCCATGATCCATGGTTTGCTGGGTCAATTCCTATCTTCAAAACGCTGACCTCCACCCTTCGTTCGTTGCGGCAACAGCTCCAAAATTTCGCGCCTCACCCTGCCGCTGCATCCGGATGGGCTTTGTGAAACCATCTATGGAGGTGTAGGCCTCAGCGAAAGGGGGATTAGCATTCATAACCCACTAAACAATAGTGAATTATTGGTAAAATAATATGAATTATGGGTAAAATAATAACCATTGACATAAATAGTTGGTAAAATGGTTGGTAAAATAGTTGGTAAACTAGTTCGTGAACATCCATTAACATTCATTAAGTATATTTTTCAAATACTTCGTAAATAGACATGAAGTAAATAGTTGGTTGACACTCTCATTGAGTATAACTTACATGGTTATTCTAAATGTTGACGAAACACATACTTAAACCATGTTAAACCCTGCTAACGCCTGTTGATCCTCAGTTTTTTTCGCCCCCATATTAGCCAACGGACATGGTGTTGTTTGCACATCACCTAGTAGCTCAGTAACAAATCATTTGCGACTGCGTATTCCATTACTACGAGTTGCTACATGGGATCTTCCTTTCTTTATCCCACAATCACCTGACATTTGCCAGTGACTGACTCAATCACAATTGGGGTTTCCCTCTGGTTTTCTGAAAATGGCAATGGAACATCCAGAATGAGACAAGCTTTCCATTTGAATCTTCTTTTTGTAAACGGGGATTTCCCACAGCATCTGAATGATGAAATCGGAGGGTTTAAAACATCCAGATTTCAACCATTGAAAAAATCCCCAATGTTTGGGAAAATTCGCCATTCCAAGTCCCCAAATCGTAGGTTCCTGAAACATCCAGTGTTTGATCATCAGTTTCCCAGGATCAGTCCTCCACATCCCATTGAGTTCCCATTGAATACCTATTGATGGCTTGAATTCACATTGCACATCCAGATACCCGGCCTGGTAAACATACAAAAAACTATGGAAAATTACAATTTTTGATGGGTAAATCAACTATTTCTATGGCCATTTTCAATAGCAAACTGTTAAATTACCAGAGGGTATATGGAGGTTTCCTAAAATGCGGGCTACTCCTCTGCATCATCCTGTCAGACGCGTGGCCCAAACGTCTGAAGCGTCAGGGCCCGAAATGCCCGGAGTGTACCGAAGCCTTGACAGCGTTTTGAAACACGCAAAATGGCCCTTAAAGTGTCAAGGGGAAAAAACGCCAAATTGGATGTTTTCATGCTGACTACAAAGAAACATATATATATATATATATACATACATACATACATACTATGTATCTATTATATACGTATGTATATATATATATACAGTTAATATATATATATATATAAATGAACATGGATGCATTTCTATAAGATATCATTAACATCTGAGGGTAGGTCGGTAGGTTTTGAATCTTGACCTGTTGGTAGAGTCGACATCAAAACTGCCTCCCCCAGGATGATCCAGACGGCAACTGGGCATTGTCCACCAAGCATTGCTGAAAAGTGGCAAGCACTTACTGTTACCCTCTGGTAATTTGTTACAGTTTGCTATTGAAAATGGCCATTGATACTTGATTTACCCATTCAAAATGGTGATTTTCCATAGTTATGTAAACGTTTACCAGAGGGTAGTTACAGCATATGCCTGTGGTCATTGATTACCCCTGTCGCGAGGTCTTGGCAGGATCATCCGCTCATCCGCTTCCAAATCTGTAACCCGTAGACTAGCGGCAACAGCGATGCGCGACTTGAAATCCATCTGCCAAATCCATATGTGTTTCTTTGAAAATGGCATGAAAACCCAGCAAAATCATCAAAATCCTCTGGAGTCAATGGAGATTTTTTTGACATTTCATCACTTTTCCCATTCGAATTGCTATAATGGGAGCGAACCCACCATGTTTGGATAGTGAATCCTCCTGGCTCGCCATGGCGCCATATGGCGCCGGGGCTCCCCACTTGGTTTCCCTCCATCTTTGGCACACCCAACAGCAGCTGTCCTGCAGTGTTCAAAAGGTCTTCATTTCCACTGTATAATAGGACTTTTATACTGGTTTTATAGTCCTGCAGTGTTTTTATACTGGTTGGTTAATAGGAATTCCCATCATGGACTATGATCATGCCCCATATATTGGGTAGTATGATCGCGAAGGAACACATCCTCTCCCTCCCCCTTGAGCGCAAGGAAGGAAACTCAATTGGAATTGCATAGATTAAATTGATTTCAAATGCTTACTCAGATCCATGACACTTTTTTTCCTGGCAAGACTCTTGGGACTTGCCATTATTGACCAACGGTACATGCATGCACTAAATCAATACCACACATTGTGTTCAATCCACCTCTCAAAGACAGATACTCGAATTATGTTCGCCTCTCGACTATCAATACTTATCAATACACTCATGTATGGTGTATAGTTATCCATACTATCAATAGTTGTCACCTCTCAATTATCAATAGAGCAGTGTTCAAAATCCCTCTGTCATTCCATGATACTGGTTGGTTAATAGGGATTCCTCTTATTGGATTATTATCATTGTAATCCCCAATTATTGGTTGATTATTGGTATAATCCCCTACAATCTCCTACAATCATCAACCAACAGGGGTTTTGCAGTCAGGAAATTCGCCTCATCATCTGCCAGTGACATGGTAGCGTGCGGGTCGCCCTGCCAGGTGGACAATATGGACATGTTGAAACTGGATTTCTACCATAGGTTTAGAGCTTTTTTGTGGTTGTGTGTATATATATGTATATACATTAATATATACAGTGCAAACATATGTATATATATATATATGTATATATATATATGTATATATATATATGTATATATATATATGTATATATACATATATATATATATATATACATACACTACACTTCACTATATATATAATATAATATACACATATATATGTATATTGATGTATACTCCCACATACACATATGTACATATTGCATTCACGTAGAGGGTGAAATGGATTGGCTGTTCGCTTCCCTTTGCTCACCAGAAAAAACCCGGGTCGGCAGACGTCTTTTTCCGGGTCAGCGGTGGATCTCGTGGGATTTTCCCATTGAAAGCTGGTTCAAATGCCCTTCCTCAAATGGCAGTGGGTCAAAACCCTATCCCCCTGTAGTTCACATCAAAATAGCTGGGATTTATGGATGTTCATAACCCCCTAAAAATGGTATGTATAGGTATTGATCCATAGCCAAATGAACGCTGGACTCATTGCCCCCGAAAGCCCAGAACAACTCATATTTGACAAGCACCAACCGGGAAAATCCGGGAAAATACCTCTTTCCCAAGGCGATTTGACAAGCAGCTCCGGGTCTGTCGCAAGCGACAAACGGCGTCACCGTAGGAACGGTTCTACTGTCAGAACTCAATATGTTCCAGCGATCTAGTGCCAAACATGCGCTGTCACGACTATGCTGACCAGAATTGCAAATTATATCAAACTACTGTATAAATGCCTACATTGGGCCGCAAAAAGAATCGAACAGAAGTATATGGACGTGCCTGCAAATGGGACATACAGTACCCCCAAATGGCCGTTTTAATCAAAAGAATCATGGAAAATCATCACTATCCACTAAATTCAGGCTCTCCCACGTATTTCAGTCAAATCCATATGCAGCGGTCCCAAAGATTCTTGGGGATTCTGTACAGATTCCTTGATGACTTCCATAGGCCATCAGCGCAAATCCGCTTCGTCTCAGCTGGACAGCACCTAAGGGCTGGAACTACATCACTGGACATCTGGTTTTGCGACGCAAAAAAAATGGGTAGTGGACAGTGATAATTTTGTGGATATGGGATTCAATGGGAAGTATATAGTGATGAAAACCCATGATTTTCTTTATTATTAGTATGTAGTCCTAGTGTGATTCATAAGTCCTAGTGTATCATGATGTGTATCATTTTGGTCTATCAAGATATACCCAAAGACGCCAGGTCTCATCATAGTTTGGGTCTGGTCTGGTGAATCCAAATCTCAAAACAATGAGAATTTGCCAGCTATGATGATTCCCATGGCTACCCTCTGGTAAACTAACATAGCTATTGAAAATGGCAATTTTTAATGGGAAAATCAACTATAAATGGCCATTTTCAATAGCTATGTTAGTTTACCAGAGGGTAACCCAGATCATTATGCACTGAGTTCAGGCAACATATAAATCTGGTTGGTGGTTTCAAGCCCTCTGAAAAATATGAAAGTCAATGGGAAGGATGACATTCCATATATGAAATGGAAAATAAAAGTCATGTTCCAAACCACCAGAAATGCTTTTGTCTGAAAATCTGCAGTTCCCCGGCCCAAATCCATTGGATATATATGGATATATTGGATTAGCATCATTTTCCCGCCCAGTCACTTAGGTACGGTATACTCCCATGTCGCCGCGCCCACGCGCCCACTTTTTCCAGGGGCCAGCGCCGCTCCTGGGATCCCGAAAATTCAGCCGCTCAGCGTTTCTTTCCTCCCTTGGCCGGTGCTGCAGGCTCCTTAGACTTCAGGGATCATCGGAAACGACTCCGAGGATGTTTGTATCTCCCGAAGCATTCATTTTCTGCTGAGTTTTGACAGAAAAACTTGAAACCAGCTGAACATTCTGGCCATTTTGGGGATAATTCCCTTTACAATTCCCAGCATTCCGGTGGCGGAGGTCATGATCAAATCCAAGGGGGACGGTTGAACCAAGTGACATACACAAATTTGAACCATCAAACAGTTGTGTTTGCTCGTTTAAACCATCCAATTTCCGGCTCAAATACTAAGAATACCCAAGTCGTCCCATTAGTAGATCATCACTTTCATAGTGTTCTTATCACTCGGTTTTATGGCCCTCTCATTTTTCAATCCCTTGCAGTTTTGGAGTAAATAATGAAGGACGGAGAGCCAAGTCCCAATTTGGTGATGACATTCTCCACTTTGGAAACCTGCTCCCTGACTCTTGGCTTCTCATTGGTTTACCCAAAGTGGAGGATAAACTGAGAAAGCAAGAAATTTTGGGTTAACAATTTTGGTTAAACCATAATAAACCATGGATAAACCATGGATAAACCGTGGATAAACCATGGATAAACCAGAAAGTCCATGATAAACCCTGATAACCCCCCGAAATGGCAATTTGTTTCGTCTTCAAAAATCTTTGTTGATCATCCCTGGGATTTGAACTGTTTTTTTTTCTCATGTCAGTCACCGTCTCGAAATGGGGCATTGGGGTTGACCACAAATAACGGTACCTTCAAATGAATTCATTTTCGATATGAGTGTCAGATAGGGATGCATTCATACAATCATATATATATATATATATGATACATGTGTAGACACATGTCATGTATATATATATATACATATAATTATGCATATCATACATATTACATACAATCACATACAATCACAACTTATCTAACAATACATATTAATTATACATATCCCTTTTGTCCATGTCATGATCCCCTTGGATAACAGTTCCACCACTGCTGCCGAAGCTTCATCTCCCGAGGGCTTCTCGGTGCCGTACTTGCTGCGCGACTGACGTCGGCCCACCACTCCTTGAAGATCGCGAGCGCCGCGGACCAAGTTGTACCTCATACCTCGGTCACTGGTTGGTGGTATACCGTTGGCACCCGGGACAACATCCTGCCATTCAGTGATTGATTGATGGGAAAACCGCCAAAAATTGAGGGAAATGAAGCATTGGCGATATATTCCCCATGATATTGCCTTGATATTCTCATTAAACCCATGATTGATTCAGCAAAGTTATTGATGGGGTTCAACTGAATTTGATGGGGTTTTGATGGATTTGATGGGCAAATCATGGGATAGATTAAGCCTATATATATATAATATATAATTATATATATAGGTTTGTCAAAGAACGCCATGGCGAGGAAACACCCCAGAAGTTGAGGGAGTTGGGGATTATTTTTACATAGCACATGCTTGGTGCTATCCCGACGCCCCAGATATGCTTGGTGGGGAAAATGACTGGATAAAGGAGGTCAAATGAAGAAATTTCCACCCAAAAGGGACGAGAATTTTCCTAAACAGTTTTGGTTGGGTATATATCCCATTATATTCACATTCAATCCCATTTTCCATTCAATCCCACCAAATACCACTAAATCTCACTAAACCCAATACACTTCCATTATATATTTCTATGAATTCCTTATTGTTTCATGGTTAATCCCACTAAATCCATGATAAATCCATGATATAATCCCAGAAAATCCCATTAAATCTCACTAAATCCCACTAAATCCATGATAAATCCATGATATTTCCCCAAAAAACCATTGTTTAACGGTTTAAGTGACCCTTCTTCTTCTTCTTCTGTGAGCTCCGAAGTCTAGGTTAGACTGCGCTCGGCATTTTTAAGTGACCCTGGCTGGAACAAAAACCGCCACGGCGCCGACCAAATCTCGACGACGCCCACCACGCATGAGGACCGAGGCGAACTCCTGGCTGGATGTTACAGCACCGTCTCCCCAGCAACGTACTTATATATTATATCTGTATATGCAATTATATACAATTATATATATATATAATGTATATATACATATATATATATATACATATGTATACACATATATGTATGTATCAAACAGAGATAACATAGGATAAACTTACTCAAGAAAACATAACATTTGCATTTGCATTTACATACCATTTCCATCCCATGCCATGGTGGTCAGAGCTGGCCTGCAAGCTGTGCCCTTCTCCGGGAATGTATGCGATGGTCTCGGTGCCAGTCGACAACTTCAAGCGACACACCTGGCTTTCCGACGCGGTGAACCCGACGGTGCATTTATGGATGATATCCATATTGATTTGCAAAAAATGGATGATCAAAACCACTACTGTAACATAATTTTTTAACTTCTAATGATAAATTTATGGATGATCTCTATTAGAAATGGCAAAATCCACTAAGAGTCAAACTTTTACTAGGTATAATGATGATGATCCATGATTATCCTTTGGAATTGTGGGGGCCCTATTTTCAAAATAAGCAATGTGGAGATTTACCAGATTGCGAAATGGAACATCACCCTGTTTAGTAGGTAAATCAATTATCAATACATGGCAATTGTTAATAGTCCACTTTTCGACAACTCGAAGAATGACAAGATTCTTCAACTCAATTTTCTACTGCTTGGGATTGTTTTTTTTGTTAAAACAAATTGGGAAAATATACCTGTCGTGATCTACTTGGTGGTTTCAAGCCTTTTTTCAACAGAAGCAACGAAAAACAAAGGGATAGATGGTTAATACTGGTGAACAATGGTTAATAATGGTTAATGATGGTTATTAATGTTCAATAATGGAATATATGGAATACTGTGGATGGATTTTCGAAAGCCGATAAAACCACCAATCCAGGATGGTTTGGAACACCCATCCGAAATAGTGGGATGTAAAAACCACATCCCTCAACTGGTGATTCGGATTTCGCTGGCCCATCCACCGTATTAGACACACCATCCAACTGCCTCGTGGTTTCAAGCTATCAACGGTGCGATCACCCCCTGAACCGCGTTGGCCATATCTGTGATGAGACAAGAATGATCCCATCTTTAGCATGGAACATAGTCTAAAAGAACATCAAGTCCAAAGTCTTCAATTTGGACATACCTCATTTTTCATCATTTTTCTCATGTTTCAGACATTCCAACTTTCGTCAAATGTGGCCTTTTCCCCCAAACATCCAACAAAGTTGGACCAGCTGCTTCCCCGTTCCCCGTTACCCATCCCCGTTCGCTGCGCCGGCTGCGCCGGGTCCCGGTGACCCGGTCGGCCTGGCCTTACGAATGGCTGAGTTGGGCTTCTTGGGAGACATGGTGTAGACGCGCGTCACGATTCCACCCTGGCTCCACCAAAAAATAAAAGGGCTGTCAGATGGATCAACTTCTGCTGGGGAATGCTGGATGATAGGAATATATGCGTATACATATATATATATAAATCTCGAATTCTAGAGTCATTGTTGCAGGATACAATTCTAGGGATCTGAGTTGTGACGACGATGAGGATTTATTGTGGATATATCCACAGCTGAATTTGTTTGTAAAAGAATATAAAAGAACTTATAACTGGGGAAGAACCCCACATTGCAGATTGCTTGGTGGTTACTGTATCCCTGATCAAAATCAATGAACATTTGGAGGATCATCATCCTAAATAAGCATCCCGTCTTCGCATTTTGTTTTACACGTGGCAATCACGGTGAGTATCACAAAGGAATATGATTCATGCAGGGAACATCATGATCCATATCAGCAACTTTAACCTATACATATAAATATACCATTCTTACCAGTATCATTAGCATAAATATATTATACCATAAATATCATATTATCTGGGTAAATTATAATAATTCACTGACCTGAATTGAGGCCATTTGGGGATGATTTCGCTTACTAACCATGATTTCCAGTGAGGTCGCAGTGAGGTCGTTATAATTTACCCAGATATTAGCATAATATACCAGTATCATGTTTTCTATCTATGATTTATATACAATAAATTTTCTATATCCCCTTCGAGGTGAAATAATACACCCATATTTCTACATTCATATCATTAATAGATATTAATAGTAACCCGTTCAGAAAAAAACACATGATTTATGATATGTAACTATTACCGTTACTATTTATGTAACATTTAGAATTGGTTTTGTTGATATTGATAACTTAATCATATAAATCTGACGACCAAAATAGAACATATTGGAACACATGATTTATAGTGATTCATCACTATTTCAGATTCGGATTTGCTCTGCCTTCTGGGGGCATCTCTGAAGCTCCTGTCGCTTGTCACGTGGCTTTGGACGCTTCTTCGGAGGTCCTGCGGGCGACGGAGCGGCCGGGATGTTTAGCCGGAAACGTCGGAAAATGCAGGGATTTCTGCTGATTTTACCCTGATATACCGATTGTTGTTCTGCTTTTCGATGGTGATTTTGATGGATCATCGGTATGGCAGAATGGCCAACCGAATCAACCAAGACTTGGGGATTTACTCACCAGACATACCGTCAGCTCCTGTGACACCTGGAATCTGAAAGCATGGACCCAAAACAGCCTAGCAATCGGCACTGTGAACCACCAGGGGAATTTGATCAATCAAATGGAACAATACTATAATAGGGTTATAATATATAATCACATGTATATATGTATGTATATATGTATATAGCTATACATATAGTTTTATACATAGTTATATATATATGTGTATATATACATATGTATGTATAAATATATAATTATCTATCTATCTACCCCTCTCTCTATATGTATACATACATACATACATAACATAATATAACATAACATAACATACATACACGTATTTATATGATACACACACATATATATATACATACATACATATATGCATGATCTATTTTTGAATTTATCCACTGATGATGAGGTTATAATGGGGATGATTCCCTGGGAACTGGTGAAATCGACGATACCGAGGTTTCACTGGATAGTTTTTGGGAAATTTTGGCTGGACACATAGGGATTAAGCCTGTAACAGTTCGGATATAGTCTAAAGTTTTAAAGGGAAGATTGACTAGATGGAAAACATGAACCATTCTAAAAAAATGACCCTGTCATAGGGAAAACAGTCTTTCTTTCTTATTCTAAAGAAGATTTCCTAGATGGTCATCCTGGCTTTCACTTTCAGTTGAATGTACAATTTTGCTTCTAAAACAAAGCTCTAAGGGTCAATGTGGGTGGTTCTGGGTGGCGAAACACTTACACGGTTCCACTGAATTAACAAAGGGATTCAAGCAGTGACACTTCGAGCACAGGATTCTCAAAGTGCTCTACTGTATTCTTGTAATTTTAGAGAGTTTCCAGTTTTTGGATGGAACTCCACAGATTTTACGGCAAGAGAGCAGCGTTCAAAACCTTTCGTCCCTGTATAGGTGTTGTTTTTTTATATTTGGATTTCCCACAATGAATCTTGATATGGGCAATTTCCCAGTTTCATCCAATTTCCCGCTATATTGGACAGTATACCCCCAAATCATCATCAATCAACAGGGGTTTTGAACACTACTCAAGTGAATCAAGTGGTCACGTCTCTTGCCCATTCCTCAACCAAGACACCGCTAGAAGGCACAAGGCCAGTAGAAATCGGCGCCCAGAAGCCATCGCAATTGAATGGCTGCCCCTTTTTCTTAAGCGAAAAATGGGCTGCATCACATGCGTCCGGCCTTCTTAACATGGGGAACCAATGTTTTCAACACAGTTGGTCAAATTGAAAAGAACATGAAACAATAAGTCAACAGGATTGCCAATCATTAATCATACTTCAACCATGATTATCCCAGTTTGGGGGTGTCAATCATATTGAAACGAGGAAATGGTAGATGCTTGGGGTTTCAAACCCAAGCGTACCTGGGTGGGAAACATCTATATCTCACCAATCTTAAAACAAATCATGTCCTCAGTTTCATTGATTGGCAATGCTGTTAACCAATTTTTCATCGTTTAAATATCATTGATGCGCTAAATTGAGCTACAGCTAAAGCTTATACTTGTCAAATGGGACGGATTTATACTCAACAGTCGCCGTCTGTGGTATATATATATACACTTATACACACACACACATTGACCCTGTTAAATATGTGAACATATGGGTACACATAGGCACGCACCCACATGTACATACACACACATATATATATACATGTATGAATATGTATATCGGTATCTATATGTATATATGTATGTATTGTATTGTAGTGTAGTGTAGTGTAATGGCATGGCATGGTATGGCATGGTATGGCCTGATACCAACAGGGCAATGGACTCCATAAATCTTCCGCCCACGCCACTTGTGCTACCAAGGCACCGGCACAACTCCGGCTGTGCGACCATGTTGGGCCGCTTGGGCATGTTAGGTTTCCCTCAAAATTCCGGAGTAAGTTGTCTTCATCAAAAAAACAGTACGGATACGCAAAACAACACATTTAAATATATAGTGTGTGTATATATATATATACACCATCTGGTTATTTAACATAGCCATGGAACATCACCATTTTTGATAGGTAAACCATCTATAAATAAATGGGACATTTTCCATGGCTATGTAAAATAACCAGAGGGTATAAATATATATATATATACACATCGAACCCCAAGAGATTTCATGACATCGTCACCAAAGTCACCATGGATCACCATGGATCGCCATAGCAAAACACAAAAAGGCTACGCCATGAGGCTGGCCTTGAGCATCAATGGGCGACCACCGGGTACTGCGTCACAACTTTCCACCTTTAGTGACTTTGGAGGAATGTATGGTGTTTATCCAACTCCCAAAAGTCGAACATATCTAAGTGTGTGGCTCTAATCCATCCAGCTGTTTCAGCTTTGTTTGGGGTATAAAATACACATCAGGGTCAAATATAGACCAAATATGGGACTCTACCAGCACCACCATTTCTCGGTATCAATGGCCGGATCACACCGAATGGTGTGTTATCTGGTGGCAGGGATGGAACATATCAACATATGTCAAAATCCAGCGACAATTAGGCCGAATAATCCAGGATATTAACCAGCGATTTTCAGGAAATATCCCTACAAACCGATCTCCAGTACAAGTTGGCATAGAGAATATTCAGGCATGTGATTATCACATTGCCTTGTCCCGTTAAGCCAATTGCTTTGCATCATAATTGCCATGGTGCCCATTACATCTCGGATAAGCATCAATTTATGGTCAACCCACCAGAGATCTGTGGATCGTTCTCGAAGGTTCTTGAGGATCCTCCATGTCGGTGTGTGCACGTATGTAGACATAATCTACCTAGTATCTATCTACACACATTTATCAGTATGTCATGGTATAATGTATATATATATACACATACACTCAACTATGTATACATACTGATATTGTTAATGATAGGATCTAAAGTTCTGTCATGTAAGCAGTTATAGTAACCCACGGAAAAGATAGAACAGCAAATTCCTCACTAGTACCACTTTAGTGGGATTTTACTCTTCTATATTTTTAGATTACTATAATGATCTATAATGTAAGATTATAACATGTTAACAATCATCCATCCAGTTGATATTGATTTTTATTTTTATAGACATGTTCATCTAATGTTAACCTATGTTAAGTAAACTAGCATGAGATTAATACCTACACTTGGAGACTAACACTAACCTAAATGATCTAGTTTAACACCTAATTCACCACCATTTTCCACAACAACCTACAGATCATCCACTAATTACTAATCATTATCAGATTAATATATGATTGTGATAATCATAAACTGATAATTTTAAATCAGATTATATGACTAATCATTACTATCAGGATAATTTTCCCAGCCACAAAAACCTATCCTCTGGTAAACCTACAAAAAACTATGAAATATCACCATTGTTTAGTAGGTAAATCAACTATTTCTATGGCCATGTTCAATGTCGCAAACTGTGAATGTTTACCAGGCCGGGTATCCCCATCTGACATAGAGCTTTCATGGAAATCGAATCATTGGCGAAATCCGACCTCTCCAGGTGGAGAGTTGTTTTTGCGTGGCACCTGAGAGGAAAAGCGTTGCTTTTCCGGGTGGGTGCGAAGAAATCATTGGTTAATGATGGAAAATCATTGGTTAATAACGGTTAATAATGGTTAATAATGGTTAATAATGGTTAATAATGGTTACTACTGGTGAATAATGGTTAATACTGATAATACAGGTTAATACTGGTTCACAATGGTGAATAATGGAATACATGGAATACGGTGAGTGGTTGCGAAATCCTGCACCACCAAAAAGATGGTTGACACCCAATAATGGGATGTTTACCACCTATCAACTGGTGCAGGATTTCGCAATCATCCACAGTATGATTCAGTGTTTTTTTTGGTCATTGGATGAACCTTCTTCATGGATACTTTTTTTGTAAATGAGATAGATTTGTTGATATATCTGTTAATAATCCATATGATTATGGATATTGTTTTAAAACATGGGGGGATGTGATTAATGGATACTTATGGATAAACATTGATATTGAGGGATATACATTATCTATCTATCCATCCATCCATCTGGGTAAATTACAATAATTCACTAACCTGAAATAAGGCCATTTTGGGATGATTCCTCTTTTTGACCATGATTCCAGGGTTCGGTCGCAGTGAGGTCGTTATAATTTGCCCAGATCTATCTATCTAACCAATATTGTTATAATTGTGCTTGTCTGAAACTTGGGTATGTACAGTACATCCCCAACATGCTGAAAAAAGGGTGGAACATGATGAGAAAACAGTGGAGATTGGAGAGAGAGGTACCCCAATTTTCTTACACACCCATATCTTGGGATATACACTATGAGGCAACATCTGAGACAATGAGCGTATGTCACATCATTTTGTGTTATGAACTTGGTAAAATTGTATAAACCGATTCACATCTGTTGGATTAAATATGGTGATTTGTTTTGACATTGACATGAATGGGAGTAGTCCTAAGAGTCTTATTGGAATCTGAATATAGAAGCTATGTGAAAGTTACATTAATTTGATATCTGAAACGTGGACAACACACGTTTGAACTAACTCGCTTCGCATCGGCCACAAGCTCTGATCAAGGCTCAGCTGATGATGGGATGATCGTCTACATCTGGGGTATATTTAAGAATATAAGGAAATCTGGGTAATATAGTAATATGAAAGGAATATCATGGAATATCCAGTTGGAAACTTTCCGTTGAATGACATTGATTAAGTATTGATTTCCCAATATGAAAGGAATATCCAGATATTGAAACTGTCCGTTAAATGGCATTGAGGACAATTATCAAAATGCTTCCCAAAAATATAGGGAATCTATCCTAATCTACCCTACTTTTTTTTCATTCCTTTCCCTCAGCATTTTGCTGAGACCGGAACCATAAAACCTTGCGCGTCCACATGCGCCTCGTTGCCAGAGACCTTCAGCGAAGGAGGAACTAGCATTCCAAGATAGGTTGGATGTAGAAGTTGATACATGGATGATATATGCTTACTTGATGCTAGTTGTGTATCTAGAGTTTACAGATGCTTAGAGATCTATCATGATCTACCGATCTACCTTCTCATGATCCATCTATTGCCCAACGAGGCTTCGAATGATGCTTATTTTTTTTTTCCAGAAGGACCTTGAAACTCTGGCAGGAGAGTGCTTCAATCTGAAGGTCTAAGGCACAGAACAACAACCTGATTCCTTGATTCCGAAAGTGAAGCACCAAACGCTAAGAGTCTTCCGTTGCCGAATTTGAAGCCCCCAAGCCAGGTGGCTTGGGGGCTTCAAACAATGCATCTTACACGGCCCTGTTTGCGGCCTACCAAAGGCAACATCGCAAACTCAAGCCCTCCACCCGCAACAAAAACGAAACTGCATTTATAGGAATTCTAAAGATAAAACATGTTAATTTTAACACTATTCAACATTCACTTCAGAATACGTTCTATTCAAAATTTACGGCACAACTGTTGAAAAGCCTTTCGGCATCTTTTCGGGGGTTCCTAAGGTTAGCCAAGCTGCATGAAGGCCCACGATGGTCCTATTATCCTCGAGGCCTTCCGCCAAAATCTTGCCTCAGTGGATGGGATTTACTCTGAAAAAAACTCCATATTTAGTTTCTTGATTTATGTAGCTATAAAACCATAGTTTACCATAGTTATAAAAACTAAGACTAAGATTCTTGACAACTATAACAGTGATTTTCCCATAGTAATAACTAGTTGATTTACCCATTAACCATTGTGATTTTTCCATAGTTCTCTTAGTTTACCAGAGGCTCATTGCTGGTATTTCTCGGGTGAAACAGCTGATTGCAGCTGATTTCGCACATTGGAACTGCAATCAATTGGGAATATACCGTTTGATACAATGGGATATATTGGGAATATATTGGACATATTTCATTGTTATTATATGACATGAATAACGATATAACATGAAATAGCATGGAACAGTTAGTTGAACCGTAGCTCTGCGGGATCCATCGAAATAGGAGACTACCCCAAAAAATGCTAGTACTATTGGGGACGGTGACTATTGAACAGTGAAACCCCCATTATCTTACGTATATATGTATATATATATATATTCACATATGCGTATATATATATATATGTACGTATATATATATGATATATAACATTTTACTTTCACGAACTCAAAGATCTTTTTGCGAGGTTAGAACTATGATATGAAGAGTATTCGCGATCATAACTCTTTCCAAGAACTTTTAGATCGATCCCCGTGTATATAAAATTATATAAATATATATATATATATTATGACATAGATACTAGATACATATCTTTTTTTTTTAATGAATAAATGAACCAATGAGCATTTGCTGAATATTGATGAACCATGTTCGCACCAAGGCGCAGTGGGCCATTGTCAAATCACAGCGGCTCAGATCTAAATGCCTCACCGATTCGGTCCCTGGGTGATTTCCAATGGTTTTGTTTATAGAGTCACCGATGATCTATGAGGGTTAATCCTAGAGGGTGAGATATTATGATATGAATACCCTATTTCAATATACATATATATGATGATGATGATGATGATTCACCTCAAACTTTCAAGATCGAAACAGAGTTGAAATTCTATAAATATACATGAATGTACGATATCTTTACTGACATTTGGGTGAATTTGTGGTAAATGTCGTCTGAGAGTCTGGGATCGAAGCGGATCTTGGGTTCATAATCCTACCCAGCATTTTCGCTGCACAACTTGGCAATATGAATTGGTGTTCCAACTCCATAAGGAGACTGGGCCAAGTCCTACATTGAAAAAAACACTTAGTCTATAACTACCTATCTGATATTATCTGATCCTATCGGTATAAGATTGGTTAAGTAACTGTAATCTGAACTGGCTGGCAGCTGAGTTTCAACTCACCCTACCCATGAAAGGACCATAAAGAAACCAATTATCTACTCAGATCACTAGAACTGTAAGGCTGCAAAGCCTCTACTTGGTGGCTCATCCCACTTAGTAAATGGGTTATAACCCCAGTTATAAATGGGATAATGTTGACCTATGATTTATCAATGCCCCCTGAATAATGCTAAATTTTTCCCAAAATAAATAATAAATGCCCCCTAAATAATGCAAAATTTTTTTGGCCCTAAAAGATTTGCCCAGATGGGGCTGAAAAAAAAAACCATGCTTTATTTGAGGTGGCTTTCATGTACTAATTCATATTGCCAGCTCATTAGATCTTACCTTGATAACTTCAAATTTTCAAAAATAATGGTTGCTCTTTTCTATTCAAAACCTTTATTCAAAATTATCCAAAATCAATCCCAAATCAACTCGTCAAGGGTACCCCCCATGAGGTGCCTTGGCACTAATTAGAGTTTGACCCTGAATAAAGCTAATTGTTTTTGGCCCTAAACCCAGATTTACTGAATCCATGACATGAATACTAAATCCATGACATGAATACGAGATCAATACTAAATCCATGACATGAATACTAAATCAATACTAAATTCAGGATATGAATACTAGATCAATACTGAATCCATGACATGAATACGAGGTAAATACTAAATCCATGACATGAATACTAAATCAAGACTAAATTCATGACATGAATACTAAATCAATACTGAATCCATGACATGAATACTAAATCAATACTAAATCCATGACATGAATACTAAATCAATACTAAATCCATGAGATGAATACTAGATCAATACTAAAACAATTGCCGGATTCCTTTTTTTTTAAAAAATTGCATTTTATGTATTCGTTTTCAATTGTGGTAATTTAAAACCTTTACTTACAAACAAGTTTTATGGTGGCCTTAAGTCTATTTAGGGTCAGAGAGGGGGGGGGGGGCCCTATTGTTAAATCAAGGGCAGACATTAAGTAGGGTTAATCCACTTATAACTGGGGTTATAACCCACTTACTAAGTGGGATGAGCCACCAAGTACAATCATCACCAGAGAGTCAGATGATTTATCTTACGACATCTTAATCCAACCTGAAGCAACGCCCACCCAACAACGAGGGCCTGAGCGTTTTGGTCTCCCGAAAAAGCCGAACCAGCTGGTGACAATTTTCCTGGCCATGTTGAGGTAGCCACCCTAACAAACGATACAAACGGACAAGCGTTTGTGAAAGTACAGTTGGCTTGGTCAATGGGGGTTGGTTTTGGTCGGAACATCTATAATCATCTATACATCTATTTTTTGGTGATACCCCCGTTATATCAAGTTATTTACTCATGATATCCCAACCACATACCCTCTGGTAAACTAACATAACTATGGGAAATCACAATTTTTAATGGGTAAATCAACTATAATTGGCAATTTTCAATAGCAAACTGTTAGTTTACCACATGATATCCCAAGCACACGATGACCTTTAACAGTTGGTAAAACGTCATCCCATCATCCAACAAGTCCTCGGCACAGAACTTGCCCAAGGGGTTCCACGAGAGATTCAAGGATCGTAGCCTCGGCGAAGGATCAAAAGCGCTGTGGGATATCCCCGTTTTCTTGGATTGGAATGGGGAATAATGAACTATTCTTGGATAATATGCCCATCTAATAAAATCTGGTGATAGATGATTATACGGGGATTAATATCCAATCTTGGTATTTTTGGATAGTATATGTACTATTATGTACTAGCATGGAATAATCAACCAAGGGCTGTTTTGAGCACTTCTCACATGGAATAATTAATGGACATATATGTCGATGGTGATTTGAACAATCGTTTGCAGCATACCTCAAGGCGGCCAAAAAAGGCGCATTCTATCATTCTGTAGTGGATTCTCGGATTGGTCACTGGCCAGCTAGTGTTATTCGTTGATCCTGCTGAATCACCGAGGTTGCCCATTTTTGGTTGGCCCAGTTGATCCTCCAATGTTCCTTGCGGAACCCGCCCGCTGAAGCCCAGCAACCCTCCGTGGTGACATTCGATGATGCCTTGCAACAGCGCTGATGCCTCGCCTGCCGAAAGGACATGGCGATGAAACCAATGGATATACTGGGATACCAATCATGGGATACACAACCAACAATATATATATATATATGTATATATATGTATATATATATATGTATATATATATATAAACATATGATCACATATGGATAGTTATTTTGATGGTTAACATGTCAGGGCAAAACGTGGCTAAATAATGATGACGCATCGGGTTTTGGGTACTCGCCGTAAAACATGTCCAAGGCAGCTAATGTTGGTTGATGATTGTAGGGGGTTATACCATCCCAAAAAATGTGCAAACGGATGGAAATGGCATGAAATTGCCCAAATAAATAAATTGCAGGTTTCCTAAAATGGCGGAACCCCAAAATCATCCATTTTAATAGGAGTTTTCATTATAAACCATCCAGCTATTGGAGTACCCCCCATGACTTAGGACACCTCCAAATTGTCGAACCACCAAACGCAGATTTAGGGAGAAGCCAAACAATCAAGGACAACTTTCGGGCAAAGTCCGTGGAGGTTTTTTTGGCTCATAGTCATAGTCCCATTTCTGTTCCTTAATTTTCCACACCCCTTGGTGAAATTGGGATTGTTGTTAGTAAAATGTGCAGATCTGGTTGCTTAAATGTTCTCAAACTTCCCCTTTGTTCCTCAAACTCCCAGTTCTTGCGGTTTTTTTTCGCAGAAATCCATAGAAATTTACCGAGATCACCATCCCAGCCCATCCCAGCCCATCGCCCGGTCCTCCGAAGTGATTCCAATGGACATCGAGCTCTTCCAGCTGACTGAAGCCTGGGCTCTGCGGTGGACATCTATGACATTACATTCTGGATCATTGTGGAACAGCTAACTCATATTTTTGGCACTGACTCACAGAAGCGATCTCCGCTGCGGCCCTAGCTGGTCTGTAAATTCATCCAGGTCCTTCCCTGGAAAAAGATGAAACAAATTGAGAAAAGCACTCAACCTGCGAAATCTGGTCCATAGGCATGGCCATAGCTGGTGCAGACCAGAGGCCCAAAGATGTCACGGTTTCGCAGGGAGACCTGCTGGGCAGGGTCTTCCGGGAGATCACCTATCGCCTTGAGGAATCCTCTGGCAAGTGCAAGACAAAGGCCAGGAGGATACTCCTTCAAGCGGGCCGTAGCTCAATTTCCTAAGGTGTCTTTCCCAATTGAACTGCCTTTGGGCACTTCCGTGGTGATACGGCCCTTGTGCAGTTCCATTTTTAATTGGGGTGCGTTGAGCACACCCAAAGTCGTCGGTTTCGACGATTGCGCCCCCCACAAGCCTTGGGCTAGGGTGAAAGACTCACATTCAGGAAGCGCGAGCAGCAATTGCATGATGGGAGTTCGCCAGATAGAAGCATCATCTGGGTTAGGAGATTCTGCAGGGTGTTCAACCACAGCAATTCCTCCTGTGCATGCCAGCGCTGCCGTAGCCACAAGCTGAAAGCCCATGAGAATGTTCCCAATGCTAACCTATGCAAGCTCTCTCAAGGAAAGTGAACTTAAGCCCCATACCTCTTCAAGGGTTCGCACAACACGCGGTCCAGCTCTCTGGTGAGGATCTTCAGGTGAAAGTTGACGGCCCCTTGCACGAGACCAAGTCTCGCATGGTGGGCCCCCAAGCAGTGCCACGATCTGGTGGTCCAAAATCGCTGAGATCCAAAAGCGGCGCGTGTCAGCGTTGGAGAGATCTCCCCAGCGCTTGTCAATAACGATGTCAACCGAAATGACCTGGATGAGGAAGGTGCCATGTAAATCGTAAAGGCCATCCACAAAGAACTGAAAATCTCCTTGTCTGCGTCTTCCAGCAAAAAGGTGAAGGATGTAACGCTCTCGTGCAAATCCACGTGCTGGGCGCAAAACAGGTGCTCGGTTGCGTTGCTCCTCAATCTCACGGAGGCAGCATTGTTCTTGGATCGCGATCTCTTGGTGCCAGGGTGAATTCTTGTCACGGCCTTCAGCGGTCAGGAAGGACCAAGCGGTAGAATCCATCAGCGTCCGAAAGAGTCCTCGTAGTGAGTCTCCCGCAACATGAAGGACCGCAGCATCTTCATCCGTGAAAATGTCCAAAAATCTGGTCAAAGTCGCCTTAAAGGTGTGCCAGGAAAGAGCGCGACCTTCAAGGGTGGAAGAAGTCCATCATGAATTGCTTCCATGCTCGCATTGATTTGTGAACCTGCTCCAGGTGCCGGCTGCCAGCGAAGTCGACTGGCCTGCAAGGTCTGGCGACAGGTAGCCACCTGCAGGAGATGCGTTTTCAACTTGGCAAACGTGTGGTACTCCTTCATGCATGCTCCACATTGTGTGGTGCCAAAAAGCTGCCGCACAGGGTTAACTTGGCCATGTACACGAAAAAGATGAGCCCCACATCCTCCTCGACTGAGGAAACGTTTTTTGCACATCATGCATGCATAAACCTGTGTAGCATTGGCAGCTACCGGTTTAGGAGCATCATGCCAAAGGCGTCCATGGGAATGTAGGGTCTCCAAAAATTCACCATGAAAACCAGCAACAATGTGTGCATTACGCATTTGCCCACTCTCATGATCGCCAGCACGCCGAGTCAGCCGCTTCCAGTACCCTGGATGGTACTTCATGAGATACTCCCATTGTTGAAATCCTTCCTTCGGGTCAGGGAGCTTTGAGGAGTTCTTGATCTGCTGCCACATCCAAGACAGGTCATTCCAGATCAGATCCTGCCACGCTTGATCATCATTGAAAAGCCCCCAGGAGGTGCTGTCGCCTGTTCTGTAGAGCTGGCCAAGATGACGGAGTCGGCAGATCCGCAAGAGAACTGCCGGATCAGGAAGGCCTGTTTCAGCCAGGATGGTGGCATCACTCCTTGATGTGGGTTGCACAGGTAGAAGTCGATTGTACAACCTCATCATAGCACTATGCAGGTAGTGTTTGTCTTTACCATCACGAAGTGTCCAAGATTCTGCCCCGTAAAGGAGCTTGCTCAGAATCAAGGTGCGGAACAACTCGCGCCTTCGGGTGAGGTCCAGACATCGATTTTGAAATAATAATCGTCTGTGGCGATTAAAAGCTGCATGAGCAATGCCGAGACGTCTACGGACTTCGCGGCGAAGATCTCCTCGATGATGGATTGTGCAGCCCAAGTGAGTATATGAACTCACCACATTGAGATGTTCCACTCCTCCCTCCAAGATGATAGGAAAAGTCTGTGAAGCGCAAGGGCCGTAGTACTTGAGCTTGGCTTTGGTGGCACCTTTGCCTTGGAAGACCATCATGAGCTCCGTCTTCCCTTTTGCTAAATTGGGACTCATGGCAAATTCTTCACATAATCCCAATAGAGCTCCTCCAACCCGTCCAGCAGTTCTCTCCAAGGATGAAGGAGACTCCTGTGAGAAAGCAACGCAGGTGTCATCCATCCAGGTTGGCCCCATGAAAGGCTTAGTGCCACTGGCTGCTGCTTCACCTCCTGGTGGTCTCAAACCTTTCTCATCCGGAAAACTGTCCAGGATGTTGGACTCCTGCATGATCTGCTCCAAGCGATGTAGCAAACGGGCCCAGAGAAAGGAGAAAACAATGTCAGCAAAGCAATCACCCGGTCTCGTTCCAAGGGTAGTCCTGCATGCATCCTGTTGGACGCCCACATAAAAGTGTGTGTCCGTGTGCAACGCTTGGAGGACTTTCTGAAGTTGCGGTGAAAGGCCAGCCCGCACGACCGCAGGGCGATCATCCAGATGTTGATGTAGAGCATGAAGAAGATCAGGCCCAAGCTGAAGACGGTTGCCAACTGCCGCAATTGCTTCATCATCCGGAAGGCCACCAAGAGCAAGTTGACGAACTATGCGGTAGAATGCTTCCGTCAAGTCTAAGAACAAGAGGCCGACACACTGGTGCTGTCGGAGACGTGTTCTCAGATACGCCCTTGCTTGATGGACACCAAGAGTGACAGAAATCCCTCTCATGCCTCCTGTCTGCTGCAGCTGTAGGTAGTGCTCAAAGACATCAGCAGAGTGCAAACGCAAGCATCGATGCAAAGATTTGCCCACATGTGATGAAATGAGCACACTGCGATATGCAGAACAGGCGTCTCTAGGGCCTTTCTGCTTCCAAATGGGTTGAAGTCTCCCCCCTTTGTGCAAAAGACTTTCCTGTCCATGGGTGTAGAGCTTGAGTAACTGGCTGTAGGTCTTGCGTGCTACAATGGCCGGCGAACTCGCACAAATTTTGGCATCAATCAAGTCAGGGCCCGTGGCCTTCTGGGGCTTGACATGCCTAAACGCAGCTTCTAGCTCAACCAAGGATGGAACCTCTGTGATTTTCAGGTCAAGAAAGGTCGCCTGAAACTTCTGAAGATTCTGGACCCAAAGTTGATGTTGTTCCTGTTTGTCAACTCTTCTGCCTCCCTCCATATGTTGGAAAAAATGAATCCATGTGTCCAAAGCATGGGACGGAGATGTGCACGGTTGTCCGGTGGAATCCTTGATCAACGGGAGGGTCTGCTGCTTGATGGCCTTCAGATTGGTCGAGCCCACAACCTTCTTGAGTTCATGTAGAATCGAAGAGGCAGGTGCATCAGTAGGCAGGTTTTCAAAGGCATGCTTGAGATAGGCTGTCTTCCTTGCACGGAGCTTTGCCTTGAGCTGTGCTGCCGACTTATAATGCCTTGCCAAAAGTTTGACATTCGCGCATTGTAGCCAGCGACCATAGTGCCAGAAACGAGCCTTGTCATAGCCCGGCCGTGAGGTCCAGGATTGAAAGCATGCTCGTAGCAGCTCTAGTCGATGATGTCGCGCTAGCTGTCGTAGCCCTCGTCTGGCGATGAGCTTCTGAGTGCGGAGATTCCATGTGGCTTCATCAATGCAGGGTTTCTTTGGTCTGTGCTTGGCATGGGGGCACAGATTCTGGAGCCGAGCAAGAAGATGACCATTGAATTGGGAAACTTGATCCTCAATGTTCTCCGTCCACGCAGGCACGACATAATCACCCAGAGCTTGTTCCACATGTTCATGCTGCACCAGGGTGAAGTCAATCCTGGGCTTGGAGCTCTGCGCACTGTGCGATTGGCGTAGTTCTTGCCAGTGAAGTTGGAGGGCAACGGCGGAGTGATCATGGTGACTGTTGCCAAGATCGAATTCGTCGAGGACTCTACTGATAGAACACTCACTCAAACAGGTTTGAGGGATCGCAATGTAGTCAATCATGTGTTCAGAAAGTCCATCAGGAGTGGTCCATGTGGTGTTTGTCCCTTCATGGCAAGATGCAGTGCAGGGTAAGCAAAGGTTCCGTTCCTGCAGGAATGTTCTCAGCAGTGGAGTACTTGAAGTATGACCACCGATGGTGCGAAATACTGAAATATGGTCAGCGGACCCTGGTCCTGCATTTGCATCCAAAAGGGCGAAAAGTCGAGCAGTCTGTGGGCAAGCCGCAGTGATCTGTAGCAGATGATCCCACCAGATTTGACGTTCTGAAAGAGCTACGCCGCTCTGAGGTGCATGTGCAACAAGAATCCAGAAGTCGACCCACTCCGTGACCACATGGATGAGCATGCTGCGATGGTCCTTGTGCACAACAACGAAGTGATGTGGTGCGAAGAAAATGGGCCCGTCATCATTCACTGCATAGGCTTGCTCCAGGTTGACCCATAGTTCAATGCCGTGCTGTCCATGAAGTGCTCCACTGGCAAAGCGAAGGATCTTGTCTGTTCTGGAGAAAAGCTCTGGAGTGCGAGTTTCCTGCAGGCCTAAAAAGTTGAGACAAAGCAGCTTGAATTGAGTGCGCAAATAATCAAGTTTGCCGGCATGTCCCCATTCTCCGTTGTACATTGAACCAATGTTCGCGCTGGCCAGGCTGATGTCAATCTTGGCAGCCCGGTCAGAGGTGAGTTCGTTCCCCTCGCATGTAGGTGTGGCAAGTGGAGAAGGTAGCTGAGGAGGAGGAACATGGAAGCCTTGAGAGCTCCATGATGGAAGTCCATCAGTTTGACTGAAGAGCATCCACATGTAGGGCAAAAAGGGGCGCCATAAATCCAGAGAGATCGCCTGTCGTTTGCTATAAAAGCTGCGACGTCGTTCTTCTCTGGCAAGCCAGTCAGCAAAGTCATTGTATGGATCCCCACAGTGTCCAGGTGTGTGCTCAACTTGTAGTCGATCTGGTAGAGCAGCTTCAAGTGCTTGGAAACAACTTCGTAGGCTCGTGAAAGAGGCATCTACATCTGCAGTGCCGATGTGGCCTTGGGCTTGCATTGCCGTGGTCCATGAATCCGTCCGAAACAGTGTGGGCGTGTCCACATTGTGCGCCAACCGCCAAAGGGCGGCCCAGGTCATGGCTTCACGTTCAGCTCCAAGAGATCCGACATAGGTGGAGCCAAGAAAGGATGGGCAATGGGGGTCGTAACGCACAGGATGCGTGAGCCACCCAATGACTTCCACGGCTGGATGCTGGTTCACAGATCTTTCGCCCAATACCACATAAGCCCAGGTGTCTCCATTCCCATTTTCCTCGTTCCAAGCTGCAGGACGATGTCTGTGGAGAGGGATTGAGGATCCATCCGTGTAGATGATGAGGCGATCAAACCGAGCAAGGTCTGTAGTGTCGCTGATCAACATAGCCTGTTTTGTGGTTTCAGGCAAATCCAGACCAGTCGGATCTCGGCATAATAGATCATCCCCAGACTTGAAAAAGTCGTCAATGTCCTGCATGGTGATGCCAAGCTTGATGAGGAAGTTCTTATCCTCGTCTGGATGTCGGCTCGGATCAAAGAACGGTCGATTGTGTCGTCCATGGTGGGATAATGCCGGCCATGGCAGAGGTTTCTTGATTCGACCTTGTTCTGTCAAAGGCTGCTGGACAACATCCAAGAAGAGAACACGAAAAACCCGAGGCAATAATTCCTCCTTGTCCAGGATGGCTGCTCTACAATATCCAAGCTGGTAGAGAAGCTGCATGAGGCCAAGTTCATCAAGAGGCATGTTCGACGTGTGCAAGAAAATGCCCTCATTGTCCTTGACGTCCTCATGACAGAACATGTAATGGAACTGATTCACCTGAGCAGTCCATTGCGCAGGAAAGCACAAGGCTTCATGGCGATGTCCAAAACGAAGGGCTTTGCAGTCAATGCCCCAGTGCGTAAGCTCAGCTTCTATATCAGCAGGAGCACCCGGCGCTGAACATTCAATGTACTCTGGTACTATGAGTTGATCACAGCCTGAACGAAGTCGAAGAGCCACAGTGACAGGTGCAACCGAAGGGGATGATGCCTCTTCATGTAGGGGTGCGAATCCCTCATCACTGCTATGGTCATCACGCTGAAGCAGACTGGCCAACTGTAGAAGAATTGGACTTCTCATCGTGTGATTGACAGTGGTCGCGGTTGGTCTGGGCTGTGGAATGGGCTGAGTCCGAAGGATGATACCATATCCGGAGCGTCCCGGTATGGGTCTGCCAGAATGAAGGGGGACTGTACCATACCATCCTTCACATTGCAACTGAGCGCGAGGCCCAAGACAATGATCATGTAGTCCATAGACTCTCATAAGATTGTTAATGAGAATGTGCTCATGAGTGGTGATGGCAAGTTGTCTCATGGCAGGGCGTCGCCCTCGTCCTCGCGATTCAATCAATGTGACCACGCTGGTGACCCAAACTGCATTGGGACGCTGCACCAGCACAACATGCGTTGCAACTTCCTGTTGGACCGTGGGCGGCTTTGGATCAACAAGGTGCAATTCAATCACCGCGCCCTCAACAATGTGGTCCGCCCAGGTTCTCCTGATTCTGTCTTCCCAGGTATGAAAATCATCATAAAGATGCACAATGCGCGCAGTGCGACCATGTGGTGCATGCCATTGATGATCGACGAACCATACTAAGATGAGACACGAGGGGGACTCATCCTCCCAGGAAAACGCTGCATCTTGCCAAATTGCATGTAAATCCTGGGTGAATTCTGACATAGAGCCAATTTCCCATGGTACGCCAGGAACAAAAATGGGAGCATCAGCATTCAGTTGTGAGGCATCACAGTCAGCAACCTGGGGAGGAGCGGCATGTGTCCCTGCGGGGGCCAATTGAGGCGCTCCAGGCTGTTGCATCAGACTGTTCTCATCAACGATCTGCCATTCAGCGGCATGAATTTCAACATGAGTGCCATGGCGTGGAAAAAGTGGTCGATCATCATCAATGGGATGGCTGCCAGAAAAGCCGACACACAACAAAATACGTCGTCGACACGCATCAAGAAGGTCAGCAAAATGTAGGAACCTCTGAAACGAGAGCCAATGCGGAACAACCTGGGCAAAGCGGCTTCCTAATTCACTCTCTTGTCCATGCCAAAAGACACTAAGCAGAGTTCCTTGCACCGATGGTCCCAGGTTTTGATGGATGATCAGATGGCCTCCATGTTGGTCAGGCGTGACCGGTGGGTAGACCAGAGCCGTCTGAAACTGTGTAGCTGGATCGGCACGATCTCGCCATGTTTGCCGAAAAATGGCGTCCCACCTTTCAGGATCAGCAGGAAGAGCAACAGTCCTAAAAGCATCACATCGTGGCCAAAGATCTCCATTCAGGAACCATGTGACAAATTTGACGTGAATCTCACCATCAATCGTGTCCGTGGCAAATGTGGAGGTAGAGGCCGCTCGCCATGAGTCAAGAATGTCTCCTTGATGATCAGGAAATCGATCAGTTACTGGCGCTTCCTCTGGATGGTTCTCAGGAATGGCTAGAGGTGTCAGAGAAGGACCAGTTTCGTCCTCCTCAAGGAGGCGCATCGATGTGGCCAGACATCTCTCTAGTACTTGAGCTTGTGAATGCAAAGAGGTCTGCTTGGAATCAGGAGTCTGAATATGCCAGTGGTTTGTCCAAAGTTGGATATCATCCACATCATCCTCAGCTCGAAGTTGAGTGACAAAGCTGGTCAATTCAGCCTCTGTTCGCGTACGCAATTGGACCCTCAAACCAAGGCCATTGTGCAATCGTAAAGGTTGATCATGCTCCTGGATAATGCTGCCGACCAAAATCTCGCATCTCATCGTCTGTCGATTTCTCTGCTGTGTGCAAAGGGTAGTCAGCCCAGAGCAATGCAAGAAGACCGCAGAAGTGCAAGGTGTGGCCAATGAGAGGGCAATTTCATTTTGGGAAGAATGGGCCTCCAGCCTAGGATGGGAGACCAAGCAGGCCACTCGCCCAGGTTGTGGATGTTGTACCACCAGTACTGTCGCGACGGTGCCAGAGGTAGGTCTGGAAATCGGCTCAGGGGCAACGAAGAACAAATCAAAGGCAGAGTCATCCATGAAATCTTCCCACATGAAACGTATGTCAGCCTCCCACGTTTCAAAGTCTGTGTCAAATCTCAAAGGTCTGGAAGCTCTGTTGGTGCGATGATGCCTGTGAGAGATGTAGTGAGAGCGAAAGTACATGATAGGACCTTCCTCAGCAAACTCCACAGCTCCATATGCAATCAGCAGATCCCAAGTTTCATGAATCCATTCTGGCCGATCAATGCCAGGCGGTCTGTCAAAGGCCGCTTGCAAAGGGTCAGGAATTCCTTGAGCATTTCCAGGAGGAGGTTCTGCATCTTCATCAACACTCATGGAGAAGGGAAGGATGCGCTTCTCGAAAGTACTGGTAGAGCAGACCTGCACATTGAGGAGTGGATCCATATCCACAGGCATGGCAAGCTCAAAGCTCCTTGGAAGGACCTCCAGTGGAAGTTGCAAACCAGCCATGAAATCCGTGGACTCAGCCGAGCTGTCATCACACTGGAAGTCAGAGTCATGGTCGCCAATGAGAATGCGTATGTAATCACCGTCTTCAAGATGTAAAGGTTCGATGAAGTCATCCGCAATGAGATTGTTGTTGAACCAAAGTCGGCAGCGTTCTCCATGAATATCCAAAAGAGACTCCAAGTCGAGCATCCGGAAGACAGAGCGTCTGTTGATCGTTCTTGGGAGCCATTTGGAAAAACGTCTGAAGGCGCCTGGGAGAATCTCATTGGGTTCATAAATCTCCATGTCCACGAGAACAAGGCGCAAAAAGGGTGATGGCCGTCGTTCATCATGAAGTTGGGGCAAACTGCAATGAAGATTTTGGGACACTAAGTCCTCTGGGCGTGCAAGCACATTGTGAGAGGCCAGAACTTCGTCTGGCAGAATCCCAATGGCTTGCGCAATTTGATGTTCAATGGTGTCCTCCGCGTCATTGGAAAGGCGTGCTGGGAACATTCGCCCATCCAAAAGAATCAAAACTGTGCGCTGCCAAACAACTCTGGATGAGGATGAAGGCAAACTCAAGGAGGAACTTGATGTCATAGAAGAGGGCGTGGTAGATGCTGCTGCGCTCCTTCGAAAAGGCCCAGGACGTCTGGCCATGAAGGAAGTCAGGTCATCTGCTTCACAGGAGGCACGCAGGTTCCAAGGTTTTTCCGGCCACGCCGCAAGTGTATCATGATGGACTCTGACAGCGTGGAACTCAAAGTCATTGTCCATACCAAGGAAAACTTGTACCATGGAATCAAAGGATACCTGGTGGGGTACAGCCTTCTTTCGCAGGGGTAGAGCAAAAACGTCTGTACGTAGATCAGCTGAAGAACCCAAATCAGTAGCTACCTCAGACGCTAGCTCAATCGCCCGCCATTCTGAAAGGAAATCCCTTTCGAAGGTGATGGAATGGGACCAGTGGAGTCTTGCCGCAAAAGGGTCAAGCTGGGCCACTGGCTCAATTGGTGGCATCGGCCCCTGGTACGCATACATTGTTGTCATGTCGCACCGGCCTAGTGAAAAGACCCTCCAGGTCCACCAACTCCACCTGCACCACCATCGCCTGGAATATCTTCCTTGTCTGTGCGCGGTCGCTTGACCCGCTGCTCGAGCAAGTCGGCTGATGCTGAGAGCTCCACGAGGCTGTTCACAATCGTGGTCATGCCCTCGTGGATGCGTTGTGCGCCAGGATCTTGTTGGTCTGCTGTCGCATCCACCATCTCCTCGCTTTCTTCCTCCTCGTCGGAGATCGGAATGGTGTCGCCAGACTGAGCCTGCTCCCTTTTGGAAATGAGGTCGAAACGCCTTTGCGCTTTCCTCACATTCAGTCTTGCGGCCTGGATGCTGGCTTGATGTGCCGACTCCGAAGCTTGGAACTGAGCAGAGAATTCCCTCCACTTGACGACACTTTGCTGGAGGAACGTTTTCCACTGCGAAAGGAGTTGAGCTTTGGCTCCTTCTGCTTCGATCAGATCCTCCTTCGCTTGTCCAAGAACTTTCACAGCAACTCCAAGCTCTTTGGTGTTGTCTCTTTCGTCTTGTTTCTGCATAGTATGGGCCATTTTCTGCAGATCGGAGGTGAGAGACTCTTCGTCCTTCTTCATTTGCTTCAGAAGGCGATTCAAATTGGCTTGAGCTTTGCTCTCTTTCTTGATCTCCTCCGCAGCTTCGTCTATGGTTCCAGGACCTGCTGGAACTGCTGGCACAGGCATCATCTGCATGGTTGGTGCCCATTGTCCAGGTGGTCCTGTGATTGCTGTCGGTGGTGGAGAAGGCATGGTCATGGTCGAAGATGCAGCTGAACCCTTTCCACTGCCCTTGTCCGGAGGTGGAACAGGATATGGAGCTGCCATGGCCTGTTGTTGTGGATACTGCATCATCATCTGAGGCATAGGCATCATAGGTGACATCGGCATCATTGGCCCCTGCATGTGGGTAGATTGCTCGTAGCCCTTGCCATAGCCCTTGGATTGATGGTGCGTGTCCATCTGCCATGCGTCGTTCTGGTTGTGTTTGCCATGTTTCTTGGACTTGCCCGTGTTTCTTCTGGACCGGGTGCGCGGGCTTCGACTGCCGGAATCTTGCCAAGTGGCACCATTCCATGGTGGTGGCTGTCCAGTCTGGGAATTGTAGGCATGTTGGTGTCCTTGTCCCTGATGGTCCGGTGGCACAAAGGAGTGGTCCACACATGCCTGCCATTCCTGGCCACATTTCCAGCATCTCGGGAAAGAGCCCTTCATGATGACATGGCATCGCCCACAGCGCCAAGAAGGCTGCTTTTGCGCCATAGCTTCTCGAGCTGCAGCAAGGAGTCTTCGAAGAAAATGTGGATCTTTCGAATGATGCCTCCGTAAAATGCTGTGCAAGTGCAGGAGCTGCGTGCCAGTCAGACGTAGTACACCTGTACGATGAAGAAACCACCGTAGTCTTGCCCTCGCCCTCTGTCGTCGCTCCGCTCGCCGCAATGTGGGAGTAGCCGTCCTTGACCTGGATGAAGTGCGCAAAAGGTTCCACAGCCGGATCCACCTTGTCCCTAATCAAAATGGTGAGAAAGAAGACCTTAAAGGCCGAAAACATACACCAGAAATGGGACAAAGGCAGTGATGAAGCGCCAGGAAGTATGTGAGCACGTGCACAGTCAGCAATGGAGGTGCCGGCTTGCCCAGAACCGGCAGAGCTCAAACAGTGCAAAGTGCCACCAGCGCGATCAGGCGTGGAAAAGCAAGGCCACAAAGGCCCGGGGGTGAACAGCAAATGAAACCCCCTCAGGTATGGCTTCCAGTGGGATCGTTAAAGCGATCCAAAACCACCTTAAGCCGAGACCTTGCTAACTCATATATATATAGGTGGAGCGCCTAATATTACATATTATGTGTATATATATATATAATGTACATACACCATATGAAACGATATGAAATGATATGATGCATATATATATATATTTATACATGTATATAGTGACGGACTTACACTTAGAACACCATTTTCAAAACAAAGATCAAAAAATCAGCAGGGGAATGTGTTCTAAGTATACACTTGGAACACCAGCCAAAAACCTACACTTGGAACAGGTGTTCTAAGAGGTACTTAGAACACTTTGGGGCAATTTATGTGTTCTAAGTGTATGTCTGCAATTTAAATTATGTAAGGATTGGTACAGCCTTCATCAGGGGTCAATGTCTTATATGTATCTGTATATGTAAAATACATATAATATAAGGCAGTTGTTTTTGTCACCCGTCATGATGGTTCTTCTATCCCCAAACAAACCGTCAGCGAAATGTAGATACTCCTCATTTCCTCACTGTTTTTGTTGCACAACATGGCAGCATCAAACAATTACCGCGTTTGTGGATTGATTCTCTTCGGAAAATACCCGCATTCTGATCCGCGCCCGTACCTGGGTAAATTTTGGTATAGCAACCCCTACAAACAAAAACGGGTTCGCTCGCGACGTGAGGTCATTATAATTTACCCCTATCCATCTCATGAAATACTACAGTAGTTAAAAACACTTTCCCTACTATGGCTCATCATCATCCCCAATTTTTATTAGTAAAAGTCCCACTGATCTCATAAGTCCCAATTAATCAATTAGCTATGGCTTATTAGGTGTTTAATATGGCTCGATCTTAACCAATCAACCAGGATCAACCAGGAAACGTTTCAGCAAGGGCTGAAAGGCAGAGCCGCTGCTGATGACGTTGCGACTGAGATCGATCCTACGCCCAAAACTGAGGACTTTTGCCAATGGGGCATCATTTTTTGGTACCAACAAAAGTGTGGAGATTCTACCCCCCAAAACACACACACACATATATATATAATCGTATATACTCTCCCCTTCACTGAGATGGACGTGGATGCAAATGGTGTTTTTTTTGGTGCCCGAAGCCAAAGTGGAGCCAACGTGGACGCTCAAACCACCAAAACTGACAAAAGTAACAGGACCCACTACCATAGTACATCCGTACATTTTCTCATTTTCAACGTCCATGTCAACGAACTGGAGAGCATATATATATATACATATACAGTATATATAATCATACGTACATGTGGCAATCACTACTGTAACATGATGGTTAAAAGATGTTATATGTATACACATGATCATATATGATGGTTATGATGTAGATTCACCATCATTTGGCAACTCACATGAGCCCAGGGTCCCATCCAGCTCCTGGTGAGGGACTTGCAGCGAATCAAGTTGTTCAACAGCTCCACACACGCATCTGCCAGGCCAAGGCCAGGTTTTTTTTCGATGGTTTCTACGTTTTGGTTTATTGGCCCCTACCAATACTGGGAGGCTTTGAATCTTTTAAATGGCTACGTTTAGGTTTATTGACATTTATTGATGTCTATTGGCTTGCCAAAGCCCAGTATTTCTATTCCACCAATCACTGGGAGGATTTTAATGGCTACATTAGCGTAGCCCATGGTAGCACCCTCATTTTTGGGAATGGCAATCTCTTCGGCGTTTTCCGAATTCCGAAGCAAGCGACTGTCTGCCAGCTGACAGTCCGACAACGTCAAGCCTCAGCTGGGATTTCCCCCAAGGATGGTAAGTAACTATGGTAATATATAGTTTAGTAACTAGCATAGTACCCATGGTATCATATAATTTATAACTTTTTATAACCATGGTAATTATGGTTTAGTAACTATTATAGTTTCTTCCATGAACTAAGGTGTATTGGCTATAGTAAGTATTATGGTAAATCTATGGTAAGTATGGGAATGATCCACGGTAATGATTGGTAATTATCTATGGGAATTATTTATGGATTTACGGATTGCGGTAATGATCTAACATAGGTGTTGACCCATCCCCGATTTTCTATTGCACTGTTGAAATTTAACATGAAAGGAAGACACCACCATATCATACAGGAAATCGATATATCTGGCTGAATGATAATAACTCACTAACCTCGCAAAGGCTGTAATCATATGGCCAGCTATGTGGATAGTGTCCCCATCGAACTCCCATTATTCCAGTGACGGAAAGCGACGTGAGGTCATGATAAAATTCATCCACAATAATACTGGGCAAATTATAATATGAATATTTCGCAGGTCGTTGGCTATTTTCATTATTTTACCCCGCCAAGTGAGGTCGTTGGAATTACGAAAACAAGGGTGAGGTCCAGCTTAGGGAGGGGTACGGCACATGGTAGAAAGGTGCGTGAAGCCTATAGCACAACCCCCTAGGCCCTAGCGCAGTAACGAATTTGGACCTACCGCGCTGCCGTAGGAAGTGCAGCTGGGCCCAGACTAATGTATCTTGAAGTCCTCTGAACCTCCGCACCAGACTCTAGTAGGAAGGTTTTTGCAGCTTAGCACAAGGTGACAATTGTTCTACCCATCCAAGGCTCCACAAATGTAAGCTGTCACGGGTGAAAACCATGGAACCATCCTCATAGATCAGATAGAGAAAGGCCAAGTAACAGATGGCCTACGCTGGCCTAGATTGAACTTCCTTTTTTAGAATTGCTGTTTACGGTCTGTGGTCTGTGTTTGGTTCCTTTACCCAACAGTTTTTCTGCTCTTGAGGACATGATGCACCGGTGGAAAGTTCATGCTAATCTCTATCCACCCAAAAATCCAGCTGAGACAAACCATCTGGACTGGAACGAACAATCCTCTTACAGGATCTTCTGGAATGTCTTGGGTATCTATTTAATCCATCTAAGGGACCTTTCTATTCCGGTACCCCAGTGAGTTATGGCCATGCCAAACCCTATGCTGTCGTCCCGTTTGCCAAAAAAGGAAGGTATGCCCAAACACCCTCCCCATAGCAATCTCATCCAAGCGGAGTGATGACTTGTGTAGCAGTGTGGCTCGATCGTGCCCAAAGCTGGGTGCTCCGCACTGTTCAGTTTGGTCAAATGACGGAAGGCCAAACACCAACCTGACGCGCCCGCGTAGTGGCGTAGTATTTCGGGCAGGGTGCAAGATGCTACCAGTATCGTAGAATGAGAATTACCAGATGAACAGCAACACGCATTTGGATAAATTTGGATCATCTTAATATCCATCAGAGCTTGCCGCTTCACCCAAAATTGCCCACTTCCGGTGCAGAAAAAAGATGGTGACACCCTGGTGGTGAAACCGCGCTGGGTTTAACCACCAGCCAAGTGATTGCACCTGCACAGACGTGTTGCCCCCTTCTGCGTGTTTCAAGATGGAGGTTTCCTAAGTCATGGGGGTACCAAAAAATGGATGGCTTATAATGGAAAATCCTATTGAAATGGATGATTTGGGGGTACCCCCATTTCAGGAAACCTCCATTTTATATGTTCTATCTTTTGTCCCACACTTTGACTTTGCTCTTCTTCGAACATGAACAAATCACAGCAACACGACAATCCAAATTCACCCTGCATGCCAACCCCCCTGTGGAAAAATGGCGCCTACATCGTTGCTCAAGTCGTTCTGCGACAAGTCCACACATTCCAACTGCCGCGGTCGCGCGTGACGAGTGTGACGAGGAATATTTTTTTCAAAGCGTCTGAATCCTCACCTCTGCTGGTTGAATATCATTGTTGCTTCTCCAAATAATATTTTTGTTCTTGAAATCTCACCAAAAGGATCGAAAAGGTGCTCCTTTTCCTAACATTCCCTTGGTTAGATCCCAACTTTGCTCCTTCAACTCCAAGCTTTTGCCACTTCAAACCGTAGCGGTTTCAGGTGAAAGAAAAACTCATCTTTACTGGTAAAACCAACATTTTTCATTTTCCCATGCTGTTCGGATGGTTTTGTGGCTCGAAATTCAGTTTTTGGTGGCTCGAAATTCAATTTTTGCTGGTAAAACTTACATTTTCCAATGGTTTTCCCATGGTTT